GCGCGCCTCCGCCGCATTGTCCCGGGCCCAGCGCCCCGGCCCTGAGCCACGCCGCCGCAACGCCCGCCCGCTGCCCGCAGGGCCATGCGGAGGGCCGCTGCGATGGAGGACTTCGCAGAAGAGGAGGAACCTTGGTACGACCAGCAGGACCTGGAGCAGGGTGAGCACGGAGGAGGCGGGTAGGAAAGCGGGGTGCGCCTCGCGCCCCTGGCCGCTTTTCCATTGTTGGGCGGTTATCACTCCCGGGAGGGCTGGGCTGGACCCCGCGTGCCTGATGCCGGGTGATGATGAGTGTGGAGAACGGGGACGTGGAGAAAAGGGGCGCTGCGTGGCAAGACCTGGGCTGGACCCCCAGAGATCTGCAAAAGTCGCGGGACCGGTTTTCTCCTTCCTGGAAGTACAGGGGCATACTTCAGTCTGCCCACCCCAACTTAGAGACAGGAACCGCCCAGGGACCCCTGGTGTTGTTGCGGGGCCCGAGTCCTGCCTGGAAGTCTTCGGAAACCGCGAGGTGGCTTCTTGGTTATGTTTTGCTGGTCTTAGTGGTGCGTGTGTGAGTGTGGGCGTGTGGGCGTGTGTGTGTGTGCGTGTGTGTGTGTGTGCGCGCGCGCGCGCGTATGTGTGTGTAGGGGGAAGTTATCCTATCCCAAATCCAGCGACACCCTTCCCTGCCAGGATTCCTGAGCTCTAAGACTCCCAGAAAGTTTCCCCAAGTCCCTTCCCATCTACCCAGGGGCGGGATGGGGTGCAGGACCCTGCCGCTGGGGAAGCTGAGACTGGGAGTCTCCAATCTGCCTTCCTGAGGAAGGAGTCCCCTGGCCCCGTCCCTGGCCCCCTCCCTGGCCCCCTTCCTGTCCCCTCCCAAATACATGGCTCATGGTTTGGAAGGGGTCAGGTTTGGGAATTCTGAGCAAGGACTCTGATTAGAACCTGAGTGAAGAGGGAGCCACCTCCCCCCGTCCATCTGAGGGTAGAGAGGGTGACTTGGAAGAGGGTTAGAATCTGGTGATGAGGTGGCCGAAGTGACATCACTCTGAGTCTGGGGCGGGCTGTTAGGACAGGAAGGAGAAAGAGATCTAAGAGGGTCAGGACCAAGGCCTGCTGGAGTGGAGTCAAATCCACCTTCTCCTCCCAGAAAACGGCTCATGCTTGGGTTGTCAAAGCTGGAGGGGCAAAGAAACGAGTCTGGGAGAAGATCCCACAGTCCCCCAGGAAGCCAGGCGGGTGTGGGCACAAGTCTAGTTCAGTGTGTGCCGCCGCCCCTGCTCTGGGGCTTCATTTACACTTGGCTTTGCTCTCATGGGAGGCAGCTACCCAGATCCTGGAGCCTTTGTTTCCTGGCTCTGACTTACGTCCCCACGTGGCCAGATTTGCTGGCAGATGAGGCTCCGTCCTTGTGCTCAGGAATGTGGGGTCATCAGAGCCTTTGGGGACGGGCGTGGGGACTAGACCTGGGCTGCACCTTGCCATACTCCATGCCCCAGAATCCACCCTCAGCCTCCCCGCCTGGAGTGAGAGGCCCAATACTGGCTTCAACCCCTCTTCCACAAAGGCACTACCCCCCACCCCCCAAGGTCACACCCCACAAGGTCACACCCCACAAATATCTATCAGGTTCCACTTAAATGGAACTGGGAGCTGGGAATAGTCCTAGCTCTGGCCCACTAGGTGGCCCTGGGCCTATGGCTGAATCTGGGTGATAGGATGCAGTGAGAGGGCTTCATGGAAGAGGTGGGCCTAAAAAGTAAGATGGGAAGCTGAGTGCCCGGGAAGATGGCCTCCTGGGAGGCAGACGCTGGTATCGTTGCTGTCGCATTTCATTCCTGCACCCTTAATGAAGTCTCTGAAGTCTCTGGCTCCGTGCCCAGCCCAGATGTGGGAGGAAGGAGCCCGGGAGTGAGTAGGGTGGGCAGTGTGCTGCTTCCAGAGGGTGAGGTGTCGAGATTCTCGCTGGGCTGGGCAGCCATGCTCTGGTCCAGGGCGGGGCGTGAGCCCTGAGCGCCCCCTTCTCTGGCCTTGCTGGTCTGCAGCCCTTGGCTTCCCCTCAGAGCCCCAGTGGTAGCCAGAGCCCAGGAAAAACGAGGGAAAACAGAAATGAGAGAGTCTCAGGAGAAACTGGAGCTTTTGACCAAAAACCAAATGTCTGCTGCCATGGGTGAGTGCTGTGCTGAGCCTGGGGACCTGATCTCTCTCCTCAGGGGCCCCGCGTCCCAGCAGGGGAAGCAGAAAGGGGACCAAACTAGTATCTGTGATAGAGCCTCAGGGCTCCTGCGGTGAGACTTAGAAAGGCTTATGCAAAGGCCCCCTCTGAGCTGGAGGGTGTCTAAGTGCCCCCTGGACACAGGAAGGAATCTAGGTGGGCAGGACGCTTGGACGAGGCCCAGAGCAACATGGAAAGACCATGTGTGACTGGAAAGTAGGAGTTACCTAGTTACCTAGAGCGCTGGGGCTGGGGGCCAGAGAAAGTCCCAGGTACAGGTACTGTGGCACACTCCCTAGGGGTTGGCATGGAGAGCTGGATGACGGGGTGAGCGTGGGCCAAAGGCCATCCACAGTGGGGATCAGGTGCCTGTCGCGTCCTCCTTCCCTAGATCCAATCTCCCAATTCTCTCCTGTCCAGCTGCTCCCTAGTTGCCTCTGAGTGGCCCGGGAAATGGTTTGCCCAGCCAGCCTGGTCCCCTCCACACCCGTTTCCCCTGCCCCCAGTGCAAGCCCTGACTTTGTTTTCAGAAGATGGCCATGGAGATCCTGTTTGACTTTGATGCTGTTCTGTCCCAGTAGAGGGAGGAAGTTGGGACAAGCAAGGTCCTCGATTCTCACTGTTTCCTCTGCCCACTGACACAGCACCTGTAAAAATAGAAAAAGCCATTAATTATTAAGCGCAGGTGCTCTCTCTGCCTCTGCCTACCTCCCTCCCACCTTGGACCAGGCTTGGTGTGGCCTGTGGGTACCCCTTTCCAGGCTGAGTGATGGCTGCTGAGTCACACATTTGATGTCCTGAGCACCTGACCTTGCTTCTTAGCCTTGGGCAAGAGCTCTGACATGGCAAGGGAGGGAGGTGCCTGGACCCCAATTCTGTGGACCCGGAGCTCCTGACATTCATGCCCTGCAGGCTGTGAGCAGGACCCCTGCCGCCCAGCCAGGTGGTAAATCGCCTCCTCCCCCGTTATCTTTGTCTCTTCTCCCCCGGTCCTGTCCCCTGTCCTTCCCCTGCCTCCCTGCTCCGGAGTCTCTGGAGCCCCACCCAGGCCCCAAACAGTGAGGGGCCGTGGGATCTCAGCATTTCTTTTCAAAGACATCCCCTGGCTCCCTGCCATTCCCTCTCAGGCTTCTGGGGTGTTTTTCCTGGGGAGCACCTCAGCAGGCATTCAGGGGACAACGCTGCTGCCGCCCGCTGCGAGAGACTCCGGAAAACTCTAGGGTTCTGGCAAGGGAGGCGCCAGTTCAGACTCAGTACCTCCTCCAGCTCGGTCCAGTGTGACCATTAATCTGGCGGTGACAGGCTGTTTTTATCCCTCCAGCTCCTACTTCCGGCTTAGCCAGCTCGCCCGCTCTCCCACACCCAGGCCTCCCGCCCGCACCGCACCACCCTCCCTGGAGCCCTCAGTTGGCCGGTGTCCTTTTCCTAGCACTTGGCTCCACTCAGTCCCTGGCTATGCACCCTCTAGACTTCTCTCGTGACCCCTTGGCAGCTTCGATCAGCTCAGCTTGCATTGTGATCCAGTTTCCTTGAGACAGTCCCCGAGATTCTCACCCACCCCAAACGGCTTCTACTACGTTCCCTTCTTCCCCACTCCTGAATCACTAGGTAGCCCAGGTCACAGTCACTGCCTTTGCAGGGCCATGTTCCTAGTTGAGAGTGTGACTTGCAGCTGCTGTCCCAGCCAGCTGGCAGTAGGAACACACATACAGCTCAGAAGCTCATCCAGGAGGAAGAGCATAAAGTGCATTGTTCATGACCGTTCCTCACTCCAGCTCTGAGCCTGTGGCCTTGGACTCGAGACTAAGCTACAGGGGATCCATGAAGGCCACCCACAGAGCCTGTCCCCTGATGCCAGTGCAGGAGTTGACATCGGTAGTAATGGCCTCTTCACAGATACGAGGAAGAAAGCATCGATGAGCGTGGCCCTCTGTGCATCATCTTCATTTATACCTGAATTATTTGATCGTGTTTGGAGACGAGCCGAGTGTTCACCATCCCATGACGGAGAATAGGAAGATGGTGTGGCTCCTTCATCAAAACTAGGGGTGGTCTTGCTGAGCTCCCACATTTCTACCAAGCACTCGGCATAACACAAGGCAATCGCAACATTAAACTTCAGTTTGCAGACAGACACTTCCACCTACAGTTAAAAAACATATCGCAAGTTTTTCTCGGCATCATCATCATAAAGTTAATCTCTCAAGGCTAAAGGTTCTTATCGGGGATTTATGTGATCTAGTATTTTGATGGCTGAGCTAGGCGTTTGGGAAAGCGGCTTCTGCTTGTCCAGGCTATTATTACAGCCTTGCTCTAAGGTAGCAGCTTTGTACTCCTTCTCAGCCAGGGGACTCCTCTGAGTGACGTCTGGGCTCAGGGACCCCTCCTGGCTTAGGTCCAGCCTGGACATTGCACTCTAGCTGTTTCAAAACCTCACCTCTCGGTGTGGGAGCAAACTCCAGCTTTATCCCTGATGGGCGGCTTGGCCTTTGGTCCAGGCCTGCTGACTGGCTTTTCTACAGTGATTTCCATCTACCCCCAGCTGGCTGAAAGAAAGCCAGAAGCTCTGCTCTCAAATGCCCAACAGAAGTCACAACTCTTTGGGGACCTGTCCCCTGCCAAGCAAGGGGTTCAGCTGAAACAACTCTATGAAACTCACCAGGAGGAGGTTATAAAGACCATCCATCCTCTCGGGGTCCTAGAGCCATCCCTGTCTGAGAGGGGAAAGCAGTACTGAGTTCAGTCCCCAGACCTCATCATGTCGGCCCCAGCAGAGCTGCCATTATGCCCCTGGGTCTGGATTTACACCATCAGCCTGGAGTGAGGGCCTCTTCATGGGAAAAGGACCCAGCTTTCCTTGACAGCATTTTGGCAGAATGAATCAAATAGGCCCGCCCTCTGCCCCGGGATTCTGTTTCTGAGAAAGTATCCTCGGGGACTGGGTAGGTGATTTGCACAAAGATTTTTGTACTACCAAATCAATTACAGTTTCATTTTTAATAGAGAAAAAAATTGAAAGCACCCTAAAAGTCCAACAATAAGGACAATTTAGGGATGGCTATTTAGGGACCTGCATACAATAGAATATTCACATCCACTAAAGATGATCCTGTAGGTAGAGCTGTGTTGGCACAGAAAGCTATCTGTGCCATATTAAATGAAAGAAGCAAATACAGAAAAACATGATCCTATTTACACAAAAGTGTATCCACAGCTGTTTTAAGCACAGAGAGCTGTTTAGAAGGGTGGTTACCAACATGGTGACAGCTCCCTTCTTTAGGGGTGTTTTCTTTCTTCTACCCCACCTCCCCCACCTCCTCCACACCCCACACACGGAGTGGAACTTTAATTACTTACAAATGGCACTGTTCCTTCACCATGTGGGGCCATGCTCATTTGTTTGGCCAGGGACACCTGCTACTTCCTCCTAAGCCCTCCCCCTCCCCACTGACCAACCCCCTAAAAACAGGCCAGATCCCCTCCCAGCCTCTCTGACAGCTGCTCATGTACCTTGGACTGAGATGGGGGAAGGGAGGTCCCAGTCCTATAAGGTACAAGAATCAGGGCTGGTGGGAGGAAGAGGATGGTTTTGCTGCACAGGGAAAGGGGGTGTCAGAGAGGGGTACATGTCACTAGGACCAGATGCTACCGCACCGGGGTGAGGAGACCTGAATTCTGATTTCAGTGTGGCCGTAACCCAGCTAATGACCTTGGAAAAGTCACTCTTCCCTCTCTGGCCTGTCATCCATAGAATAAGGAGGTTGAGCCAAAAAGCTCTGAAGCCTCGTCCAGTTCTAATACCCAGCAAGCCCTCCTGCCCCCTCCTTCTGCCTCTCGGTGAGCTCCTGGTCACCCTGCTAAGCCCAACTCGAAGGCTGCCCATTGTCTGAGCCTCCCACTGCGCCTTACCTATCGTCCAGGGCACTTTGCCCCTTGTCTTACCACATTCCACTCACTCATTCTTTCAGAAAAGATTTATGATGTGCCTGCTCTGTGCCAAGTACTATTCTAGATCCTGGGGATATCAGTGAACGAAGCGGGCAAAATCCTGGCCCTGTAAGCTTTCAATTGGTCAGGGGAGACAATCGGGAAGGGAACGTGGGGCGGGAGAGGCATGAATTTGAATCAATGGCTGGGGAAAGCCCTCCTGGAGAAGGTGCTATTTAAGCACAGACTTGAAGGGAGAGAGGGATGATCCCCGGGAGGGCCTGGGGAAAGGACAGTCCAGGCAGAAGCAGCAGCCAGTTATCCCCTCCCAGGCCCGGAGGCTCCCCAAGGGCGGCCCTTGTCTCCTGCTCCTCTTGGGGTCCCGAGGCCCAGCTCAGAACATTAACGGGGGTCCTCTGCCTTCTTCCTCACACTACTCACGTTTCTCTCGCCCTCCGCCCCTCCCTCCAGATTTGCACTTGGCCGCCGAGCTGGGGAAGACGCTGTTGGAGAGAAACAAGGAGCTGGAGGAGTCTCTGCAGCAGATGTACGCCACCAACGAGGAGCAAGTGCAGGAGATCGAGGTGAGGGGCCACGCGGGCCCGGACATGCCCCCACACCCGTCAGGGGCCCCTTGGCCTGGGTGTCCCTTTGTGCAACTTAGGAAAAGCTGCCCTCTTAGCAGACACAGCCCTGGCCCAACAGCCTCGTGCAGTTCACAACCTGCACAGCTATCCCAGGCAGCCCCGTTGCACCACTGTCTGTACCCCGTAGTCTATTGCACATGAAAACCCCAAAGTGAGCTTTTTCCTAGAAGTGTGAAGAGGGCCCGGGCAGAGACATTTTCCCCAACCCTCTTCCAAAAGGTGACTCCCCACCCCCACCCCCACCCCCACCTCCCCCAGTACCTGACCAAGCAGCTGGACACGCTGCGGCACGTGAATGAGCAGCACACCAAAGTGTACGAGCAGCTGGACCTGACGGCCCGAGACCTGGAGCTGACCAACCAGAAGCTGGTGCTGGAGAGTAAGGCTGCCCAGCAGAAGATCCATGGGTGAGGGCAGGGTGGAGAGTGGGGGGAGGAGGGGCAGGCGAGGGAGAGGCCCAGGGCTGGGTGTGCAGGTGGGTGTCTGGACCGGTGGGCGTGACTCACGCTCCTTCTCCCAGAAGCCCAGGCCTGGGAACCAGGGGTGGTAGTGAGTTTGCCCTTGTCGATTTGGAGTGATTTAACATTCAAGCTACAACCCTTTGAGTGCCAACTATGCACCAGGCTCTGTTTAGGCACCGGGGATACAGTGATGGGGATACAAAGACACCGTCCCACCCTCTGGGAGCTCACAGCCTGGGAGGGAAGGCAGGTGTGTATATAGTTCATTGAGATGCAGGGTGATGAGTGATAGAAGGGTATACAAGGAACTGAGGTGGCACAGAGGAAAAATAGTCACCTCCGCCTGGGAGGTGGGAGAGCAGGGTGAGTGCTTAGAGTTCTCCATCTGACCTCAGCACCTGGCAGCATGGCTCAGGGTTGCCCATCAGTCCCCAACCCCCCGTCCCTCCAGGACTGCAGTGAGTGGGGCTGGCCTCATCCCCTTAGAGTCCCTCCCGTGCGGTTTCCCCACCCCACCCCCAGGCTGACGGAAACCGTAGAGCGCCTGCAGGCCCAGGTGGAGGAGCTGCAGGCCCAGGTGGAGCAGCTCCGGGGCCTGGAGCAGCTGCGCGTGCGCAGGGAGAAGCGGGAACGAAGACGCACCATCCACACCTTCCCCTGCCTCAAGGAGCTGTGCACCAGCACCCGGTAGGTGGGGCGGCCCGGACCCTGGACGGTGCCTCCGAGTGCCTGGGACTGCCAGTGAGGGGGAGGAAGGAGAAGGCGGCCACCAGGCAGCAGGTGGGAACGAGAGAGTTGGCGCGTCATCAAGGCTCTTGGAGAGGTGGATCCTGGGTACCGACCGCCAGCCGCCGGCGTTTACTGCACGCTATTGTGTGCCCACGACTCTGCTGAGTGACTTAATAATCATAGCGATCCCACGAGGTGTGTTTTATTATCCCCACTACTCAGATGAGGAAATTGAAGCTCAGAGGTTATGTGTCTCATCCAAGGTCACCTGATTAGTAAGTCAAAACTCTAACCCCGGACGGGTTAACTATTACACCTGTCAGTTCCCCATTAAACCTTCTCAATGGGAAGACTTCCTAATGTAAGAATACATATGGTGTATTTGGTGGGTGTGTCGATAAGGGTCCTGGCAAGGGCCAGACAGTGCCTCCCTGGCACAGAGTAATTGATATAGAAGTGCGAGTAATTAATACAGAGGTGTGAGCAAGGTGCAGGAAAACCAGGGGGACACGGTAACACCCCAGGTTTGCAATAGTGAGGAGCTCCTACCACCCCTGGGCCCAAAGGGGCCAAGGGCAGGGAGGTTACTGGAACCTAGAAGGCGGCATGGAGGATGCTGCCTGGCCGCACTGACCAGTGAAGGAGTCCGAAAGAGACATTCCCATCACCTCTGTCCGCTGGGACCGCCTGCCAGTGACTCCCATTGGCTGAGCTCAGCAGAGAGCCAGGGAAACTGGCTGAAGCAGTCCACTGAGGTCGGCCTCCCAGGACAGAGGGCAGAGGGGGGACTGGGAGTGGATCGAGACTGGCAAACAGACGATCCAGCCCAGTGGACTAGAAAGATCTAAGTAACCACCGCCCTCTGCCCACCTGCCCCTCCCCCCACAGGTGTGAGGATGCCTTCCGCCTGCACAGTTCCTCGCTGGAGCTGGGCCCCAGGCCGCTGGAGCAAGAGAACGAGCGGCTGCAGACCCTGGTGGGGGTGCTGCGTACCCAGGTGAGCCAGGAGCGGCAGCGCAAGGAGCGGGCGGAGCGCGAGTTCGCGGCGGTGCTCCACGAGTACGCGGAGCTGGAGCAGCAGCTGTGCGAGATGGAGGGCTGCCGCCTTCGCGTGCAGGAGCTGGAGGCCGAGCTGCTCGAGCTGCAGCAGATGAAGCAGGCGAAGACCTACCTGCTAGGCCGGGAGGACCACCTGGCCGAGGCCCTTCTGGCTCCCCTGACCCAAGCCCCTGAGGCCGATGACCCCCAGCCAGGCAGCGGGGACAACTTGGGCGCCCACGACGGTATCTCCTCCCCCGCCACCTCCCCAGGCCACACCGTGCGCAAGAGCTGCAGCGACACAGCGCTCAACGCCATCGTGGCCAAAGACCCAGCCAGCCGGCACGCGGGCCACCTCACGCTGCACGCCAACAGCGTGCGCAAGCGGGGCATGTCCATCCTGCGGGAGGTGGACGAGCAGTACCACGCGCTGCTCGAGAAGTACGAGGAGCTGCTGAGCAAGTGCCGGCAGCACCGGGCCGGGGTGCGGCATGCGGGCGTGCAGACCTCGCGGCCCATCTCCCGGGACAGCTCGTGGAGGGACCTGCAGGGGGGCGAGGAGGGCCAGGGGGAGGCGAAGGCCGGCGAAAAGAGCCTGAGCCAGCACGTGGAGGCTGTGGACAAGCGCCTGGAGCAGAGCCAGCCCGAGTACAAGGCGCTCTTCAAGGAGATCTTCTCCAGGATCCAGAAGACCAAGGCTGACATCAACGCCACCAAGGTCAAGACCCACAGCAGCAAGTGACCCTTTCCCAGCAGGCAGACTCCCCAGGCTCCAGCCATGGGTTCCTGGAGCCTGGGCTGTGCAGCCACTGGTGAGTGAGGGATCCTTTGAGCTGCAGTATATCCCAGCGGAGGCCACTGTGTGACGCAGGGATGGTGTTGGGGACACAGCTTGTTCTCTGCTGATGTGGGAGGCAGTCAACACGTCCGGCCTCCCAGGACCTTCCACCATCCTGTGTCAGCCCACTCCCTTGGGGAGTCCCAGCCACCCCAGCTTCAGACCCTCAGGCCCTCAGACTTGTTGCCAGGCTTCTGAAAGCCATTCTGGACCAGATGGCCTTTTTTTTTCTTTTCAAAGGTTTTTTGTTTTTTGTTTTTTGTTTTTTTTTGAGAGAGAGAGAGAGAGAGATTTGCAATGCAAGATCCCCCTGACCCCTTGCCCATAACTGGAAACACTTGAAGGGAGACCACAGAGCCAGCTATGGCAGGTTCTGGGGGGCTCCTGGACCACCCACTGCTTCTCCCCAGCTGTGACTCACTGTCATCCCCTTAACACCAGGTCTCCCACCCCCAGGGTCCTGATCAGGTCAGAGGCAGCCCCTGCCATGAGAAGCAGAAAGCCTCAGTGCCCCCCACTCCAGCCCTGGTGAGGGTGGGCTTCTCCCAGGAGACCCTCAGCCCACCGCAGATCTGTAGCCAATCAGAAGAGGGGAACAGGGAGCCCCCCAGCAGCCATACACGAGCAGTGCACCCCGTTCCCTTCTGAACCAGCCGCCTCGGATTCCAGCCCCAGAAATGCCTTCTGAGCATTAAGCCTTCCAGGGGTCTGGGCCGGGGCGGGGAGCCCCCAACATTGCACGCCACCCTGCAATTCGCCGTTTGTCCTCTGCCTGCCCCCACCTCAGGGACCATGACGTGTCTCATTCACTCCCATGCTCCCCACAGGCCAACCCCACCGCAGATCATGCTTGCTGCCCCCAGAATGTCCCAGGCATGTGCCACGAGCCAGTGGTCCCAGTGTCCACCCCGGCCCCCTTCACTGGGGACAGCCCAAGACCCTCACCCTACACTCAACAGTATTGAAATGGGCCTGGGATGGGGAGCATGTCTCCTTCCCATAAAATGCCTGCTCTTAACCTCCTACCTTTGTGGAGGGCTCTTGAGGACGGAGCTGGGTCAAGGGTTTAATCTTTTGTTAAGGCTTTAGAAAGTCCAGCTTCAGCTAAGAGATGCCAAGGTCCCCAGCTTTCCCTGAGCCATTTTTCAGGGCTTCCAGTCCCTGCCGCCCTTCCTAAGACCCCAGAAATCGGAGGAGCCACACAGCCCAGTGGAAGGCGACGGCCCTGGCCTCTGTGCTGGAGTCCAGTGGGGAACCTTCATGCCTTATTTGTTTCTAAGGGGTTTTCTTAAGAAGCACACCCGACCTCCCCTCCCCAGAGGTGCCATCATGCTCTCCGGGCGGGCTGTCAGCTGGTCCTTCTGTCCATGTATCTTGAAACCCTGTGGAGCTGGGCAGCTCCCAGCCCTCTGTGTGTCTCTGTCACCTAGGGTGGAGGGGGTGGAGTGGGATGGGGTGGGGGGAGGGCTCCTGCCTGTTTGCTCCCCAGTTATGTAGCAGCCAACCAGCATCACCTTTGAAGTATACGAGAGAAATATATTTACAAATGCTTTATTCTCTTCTTTAATAAAAAAATGCACCAGTATTCTAAAAGCAGAAATGGCCTCAGAGCCATGGTCCTGTCTCTATGACTCGATTTTGCAATTCCCTCACCCCAACCCGCACCTGCTGACAGCACAGGTAACTTCAGAAGCCAAAGTTAAGTGCTCTTGAATCTTTTGAGATCAGTTTGTTGCTACCCCCTCCACTCGCCCATCTCGGACAGGAAATGCAGCCGGCTCTGTGGATCCCAATCCCATGTGGAAAAGCTTCCCAAGTCTCCCCTGGGAGGTGGGCTCAGGGACCTTCCGTCAACACCCTCCCCCACGTTCCTGAAGGAGCCAGAAGCAACTTCCCTTGGACCCAAGAGGTGAGGACAGTGTGGTATGGGGAGCTCAGAGCTGGGCCCCAAATTGGTGGTGTCTGCTTTTTACATCAACTGAACAGCATGGGGGTTTTACATGCACACAGCATACAAGTGGCTGTTGGGGTTTCCTGTCCAGCTGTGACCTGTTTCCAGTGGGATGGAGAGCATGTTGTAGGTGTGACACCTAGAGCAGTCACACCCGAGGAGCAAAGGAAGTTGTGGCCTGTATCCAGCCGCCCATTTCACCTTTTGAATTGCCCTGTGGATATATTTTTTCCTGCCCCTTCTTCCTTCCCACACTATTTTGTCCTTATTTGGCCACCTCCCCAAGGTCTCTCCCTTGCCTCTCCCCTCCCCCAGACTGACAACCTTCTCCATCCCAAGACCAAGCACTCTGTGGTAAGAGGAATTGGTCCCCTCCCGCCTCTGCCCCAGAAAAAAGACCTGCCTCTGCTCTCCCTGCAAACCCTGGAGTGAAAGCCTGGGGGTGTTTTCAGGAAACTAGGTAAAAGAAGCTCTTTCCAAGAAGGGGGCAACTTTGCCCACTCATGCCAGGGGCACGCTCTGTGCCACCTGCCCAGCCCCTCGAGAAAAGGAAAGATCTGGAACAGAGCTAGTCAATTTCCCACCCCAGTGCTGCAGAGAAAAAAAAAGATAAAAGCCATTGGATCTCTGAAAATAAAAGGAAGTTCGTTCAAGGAACCTGCTCGTACCCAGCATCCCTTGGTAGTGGCTAACTTGTTGCCTGTCAGCTACAAAAATCTCTATTTTACTGCTGGCGATCCTGAGGCTTAAAGGTTAAGTTAGTAATTGAAAGTCACATAGAAACATTTGAACCCAGACCTGACCCAATTCCATTATGCAGTACTGTATGTTCCCTAGCTCCACGTAATGTTGAGTTTTAAGAGCCTGTCTGGCCCAGGGCACTTAAGAAAGGAAAATCCTATGGACTCCCACATGGGAGGGGTACTCCAAAGCACAGGCCATACATAGAGACGGGCCAGTGCCTGTAAGCTCAGCTACCAGGAGAGGCTTGGTAAATCTTTTATCTCTTCTTCCCCTCTTTCTTCTCGCCCCTTCTTGAAGCACTGTCTCAGCCTCTGGAAGACCAAGGAGGGGAAGAAGGCTGGCCTCAGCCTCAGTGCCCACCTTTTTAATGAACAGGTGGCACCTTTCTGTTCTTCCCAGAAGGGCCTTTATTCTGGATGGTTCATGCAGCAGCAAGTGAAAGGAGCTTGCCAGCTGCTCTCCCCTCCAACCCAAGCTAGTTTGTCTCATTCTCTCTACGCCCCTCCTTTCCCAGAATCCAGGGCACCAGATGGCCCGAGCAAGCTGTGTTTATTTGAGGCCATGGAAACCTGCAGCTTCCTCTCTTATCATTCTGGGTCAGAGACAGGCCTGGAGCCCCGCCTCAGAGCACTTAGGCCACAGAATGGTGCTGACTTTATTATTCATAATCCCAGAGATGTCCACCTGGGTGAGTCCCTGGCTTTGCTCCCTCGAGCAGCTTATTCCAGTCACCATGGAGACACCTGTTTCCTCTGAGGTCTTGGGACTCAGACAGGGAGGGACCCAGGAGACGTCCCTTCCAACCTAGAGCTCAAGGCATATGTCGGTTGCCATTCCCTTTGCAGTCTGAGTTTCCAAATCCAGTGCTCGGGAAGCGGTTAATTCCCTCCTAAAGATTTTGCCTGTATCGATGAGGATAAGACGGTAAAGCCTTGATTGGATGACAACATTCCCAGTGGCATAGAACTCTTCATTATGAAACAACCATTAATATTAGTAATAATTACTAACATTCTTTGAGCTGTTTTCATTTACCATACTACCTTTCGACAAAGTAACTTAACCAACATTTAGCTGTTTCCAAACACTGCTTGCTCTACTTTGAACCTTTCTTGGAATTAGAACTTCTCAGTTTTACAGTTCATGTTTTAACAGCCCTGTAAAAGGGCTCTGCTTAGCCTGTCTGTGGCTGTCTGAGCCTCTACCTACCTCCTCGGCCTCCCCTATCTCCTGAGAAACTATCATCATGCTCTGGAAAACTGCTGTTTCCCCCACAAAGGGGGTGGGGGTGGTCCACTTTTTAAAACATTTCTTTCTCCACCTGTCTGCCTCTCCTCTCATCTGGTATTTGTCCTGTAGAGCTTTCACACACGTGCTCAGCGGGGATTTGCTTATCGGCAGCTGCCTGGTGAATAAGCCCAAAGTTACCAAAATTCAGCTCTAACAGAGCTCAACTTTCAAAAACACATTCCCAAAGAATTCATCTCATCAATATGCGGATGAAAAAAAGGGGGTCGTATGGAAAGTAACCTCACAGATCATGAATTCCTAACTGGGCAGGTCATGGTGGGTGGCCTATGACTTCTTTAGTGAAAGGTTTTAAGCCAGCCCTGTCCATTGTTCTTATGCCTCTAAGTTAACACACCTTTGAAATACCAGCAGTAATACCCTTGGAATGGGGTATTAACCTGCAAGAGAGCTTATAATCTTGTTAATCCAATAATCCAATCCCACTTTGCTTTCTCCAATCTTCCTTAAATCCCGTCCTTAATTTCAAATGCATAAAAGCAGCTGCAAAACTTAATCAGAGGGGCATTTTAGATCTCGCTCCCCAGCACATATCATCGGTTTGGCTCAAATAAACTCTTACAAAAGTTCTCTGAAGGTTTCGATGATTCCTACTTTGACAAATATTTGAGTACTTCTGTGTACCAGGTTCTGGGTACTGGGGATCCTGCAGTGAGCCAGTGCCCCTCCTGGAGCTTATTATATTACATCCTGGGTGGGAGACAGGCACTAAACTAGAAAAATAAGATTGAATTTTGTGAACGAAAAATAATAATGAAGTAGAGCAGGGTAGAGGGGATGGAGATGAACCAGGCCAGACGGGGCAGGCCTCACTGATGGTGTTAGAATGGCAGGGAGAGCAGAGTCTGAAAAGGAGAGAAATGGGGTTTCTGGGGGGCACGGAATCCAGGGGTTCTTTCACCAGGAGGCCCCCTAGAGATATCGCTGTCTGGCCAACGTCTTCCCCACCGCTGCAGCGGACCTCAGAGAACAAACTAGCCCTCCCCCAGGTGGCCACTGAATTGCCTCTTAACCGGCGCCGCCTCCTAACCCCCGCCGACGTTAAAAGTCGCACGGAACCAAAGTCCAGAGGGAAACGCAGCCTCACGGACCGCAGTAGGAAACGCCCCCCGGAAGCGACCTCGAAACTCAAATATGGCGGCCGCCCGCTACCTTCGCTGGGGCCTAAGCCGAGCCAGAACCTGGCTGCGACCGCCGCCCGCGCACCACCCTCTCCGGGATCTGCACAAGCAGGTAGACGGGACCGAGTTTCAGAGCATCTACAGTCTGGACAAGCTCTACCCGGAGTCGCGGGGCTTGGACACCGCCTGGAGGGTCCCGGTGAGCCGGGAGGGCCAGTTGGAAGGGGCGTTCCCACGCCTCAGCTGGGTGACGTCAGAAAGCCAGGACCCCATTGGTCAGGCGCGCGGCTAATCGAAGGGGCCGCCGCGGGAAGAAGCTGGTTGTCCGAGCAACCGGGGTCTGGGGCCACGGGGAGAGTCTCCGCTCCCACGGTGGCCTAAGGGGTACCGGCTCCGGGAGAGCACGCTGGGTATGCTTCCTACAGTGCCACCAGCTTTTCCGCATTTGTTCCCCGGCCCTCAGGCCCAGATTCTTGTCCCAGCGGAAAACGTGGGCATTCCGGTTCTGCAGAATGGACAGTAAAGGCAGGAGGCTGCCACGTCGTTTACTCCCTTCTCGAATCTTTTGGAAGGTTACACTATCCTTAGCCTCTAGTAACCCCAGCACGCCTGAAGAAATAGGGCTTCTCGTTGGTTTCCTCAGGATGCATTTAAACAGAGCCCGCTGTCCGCAGGCTCTGCATCAGGTCGCTGAGCGGAAGAGATAGGACCCAGCCAATTCTGTTGTGTCCACCTGCAGGACTGGCAGAGAACGTTCACTGATTCATTAACTCATTCAACAAACTTCTATTGAAAGCATGCTTTGTGTATGAACAAAACACAGAACTCCGAATGCTTGCGGAGGCTGACTTCTAATGGGGAGAAACAGGCAATAAGTAAAATGAGCAGTACAGAGTTTGTGAGATGGTGATCAATACTTTGGAGAAAATAAATCCCGGAAGGAAGAAAGAGTGCTAAGGTAGGGAGCAGGATTGCAGTTTTAAACAGGATGGCCTAGGAAGGCCTCTGAGGTGACATTCGAGTAAAGACCTGGAAGAAGCAAGGCAGAGAGCCATGAAATAGTGGGAAGATGAGCATCCCTGCAGAGGGAAACAGCAGGTACAGTGACCTCAAAGCAATTGCTTGCTCCACTTAACCAGGGAACAGCAAGCAGGCCAGTGTGGCTGAGCAGAGGAGTCGAGAGATGAAGCTAAAGAGGAGAGCAGTGTGCGGAGGCCTGTTTATAGGGCTTACAGGCTTTTAGCTTTACTCTGAATGCGATGGGGACCTACTGGAGGATTTGAGACAGAGGAGTGGAATGATCCAACTTGGTTTCATAGGGATCACTTTAATAGAGCCTTATAAAGAACAGACTGTAGAATGGCAAGAACAGGAAGACCAGTTAGGAGACTGAGTAATACAGGGAAGAGATAAGCAGGGTGAAAGCAATAGGAATCATGAGAATTGCTCAGGTTCTAGATACAGTCTGAAGGAAAAGCCTCTAGGGTTTGCTAATAGATTTTCTTTGAGAAATGAGAATGAGAGAGGAATTGACGTCTGGGGCCTTGAGCAGTGGAAGGATGGAGTGGAAGGATTGAGTGAGATTGGAAAGCAACAATAACATTCACTTGTTTGTTCTTTCATTCAGCAAAAAATGTATTGTGTACTTACTGTGTCAGACACTGTTTCAGGCATTGCAGATCCAACTTCTGTTCTAGCAGGAGGAGCAGATAGTAAACAAAGAAAGAAAGCAGGTCCGGTAGTGAGAAGTCATGAGATCAGGATGCTGTCATAGTGCTGAGGTGCTACTTCAGATTGTTAGTCAGGGAAGTCCTCTGGGAGGAGGTTTGAGGTTTGCGGCATCCATCAGGCATCTGAGAGGAGACATCGAATAGCAAGCAGTTGGCTATATGGGTCTGAAATCGAAGAAAGAGGTTTGAGTTTGAGCCAGAAAGTTGAGAGTCACCAACATGGATGATGTTTTCATCAATATTTTTTTGAGTATGATAGAGAAGAGAGGATTCCAGGGCCATGTCCGTGTTCGAATGTTGCAAAGAGTAAGCAAAGGAGAGCGAGAAGGTCCTAGGGAGGTAAGAAGAAAGATGAGAGGATAGCTCAGAAGGAAGGGGAGTAATGTGCTTCAGGGAGGGCGTGGTCCATGGTCTTCAGTGCTGGGGAGAGGTGGAGTAAGATGAGGGTTCCACCCCCAAGTCATTCTGAGATGAAAAGGAATGAAGGGGGGTGTGGCACAGGTGAGGGTACTTTGAGCTTGGATGGCCAGAAGAGCCTCAGAGGGGCAGTGTTTCCCCTGGGCCTGTGGACACGAGGATCTAAGGCTGAAAGCCATTTTTGGAGGAGCAGCATGGGAGAGACGTGGTGGTGAGGATCTTGGAGTGAGTAGTTCAGGTTGACACAAACCGTCAAGGCAGATGTGTTAGTCGCTGCTCAAAGCAGACAGCTTCCCGGGTGAGCGGAAGGAACAAGGTGGCCCAACAGGTTTGTTGCTCCATATTGGCAGAGGATGTTCCTTTTGGAGTCTCCCTGATGCCTGTGTACTCCGGTGCCTTCCCTCCATCCCAGGAGCCAGGCCTCTGATGTGCCCGACACTAGCTAAAACGGGGGCAGAGAAGGCTCGAGAGGTCGCCTCCGTTTTCTTGGAAGAGTGTTTCTCAGGTGGCACCTCTGGAGTCAGCAAGCTCTCTCTGTCATCTGTTGTGATTTTGCTGGGGATCTGAAAATAGTTGTGTGACCTTTGCTTCGTGGCTTTACAACATTTCTTTGGTTGCCCTGGACCAGTTAGGAGTCACCCAGCAGGTAATATCTGGTTGACACTGTGTACGTTACATTACAGGGCGATGCAAAGCAAGCCAGCAGTGACATTCCTCTAGGTAAGTAATTTTGTTTTACAAAAAATCAGCCATTTCCCCCACTCCTCACACATTCCTTCCAGGTCTCTTCAGCCTAATGAAAGTAATGAAACTGCCCTCGGGTGTGCAAAAGTGGTCTTTTCAGCATCGTTTAGAATAGCAAAGGAATGATGCTGCAGCCACTCTGGAGTGCTCTGCAGTGCACAGTACACATGGAAAGCTCTTGCTGGCCTTGTGACCCAGAATAATCTTTACAATAGATGAATTAATCATCTTTGGAAGAAAGTACGGTGCAGGAGAATATGCGTAGTAAGCTACCATTTGTGCCTTACGTGTACATCTGAAATGTGTATACTTCTGTCTATGTACAGTAGATCTGAAAGGATGTGCAAGGAATTAGATATGAGGACTGCCTTGGAGAGCAGAGAGGAAGGGGCAAACTGGTGGGGACCTCTCCCTGTAAACCGTTTGCATAATTTTAGGATTGTGCACCCAGTAAGCATACGGCGAGGCCTGACAGGCACAGCCTGGGAAGAAACAACCAGCCTTTTGCAGATTCCGAGTTTGCGACGTACACACATAGAGAAAGGAAGAGAGTACCAAGGTGCTGGCTCCCTGTGGCCCTTGCTCAAGGTGACACTGAAACAGAGGCCAGGCGATGGCAGCACATCTGTCAATAATCTCTTACTCCACTAATCTGAATGTGATGTTTATTTATATAAAAGCCATCGAAAGAGAGAGATGTGTAATAGGGACAGTTATGTTGATAGTAAATTAACTTCGCACGTTCTGCCACGGGATAATCATTTATTTTTGTTGTTTGTCCCGTTTTCTAGATCGCTTGACAGTATCTTACTGTCGGAGCAGTGGTCCCGGAGGCCAGAACGTTAACAAAGGTACAGGGCGCCTTGTCCTTTTCTTTCACTTTAAAACTCAGTTGGAAGATGGACTGGAGGATTCCGTGTTCACAGTCATGTGGAATAAAGGAATTTTATTTAAGCAGAAGCTTAAATACCACCAGTTATAACAATCCTCTGTATTCTTTTGAATGTGGTCTCATTCTCAGACTCAGCTGTGGGTTGCTAGGACTGGGCTGGGCTTGTGGGTTTAACAAAGGGAAATCACAGCGTGAGTTGGCAGCCAGCTCTAGGAACAGGTTTCCTTGATGCTTGTGGAACCCATCCCCCCATTCTTTCCAGAACCCAATAAACGGTAAGAGAAACGCTGGGCGTTTAGCTTCTGGAAGTGTATTTTTGTCCAGAAGGGACTCACGATCTTTGCAGGCGCCTTCCATGGCCACCTGTGTAACCCCAGGCTGACGCAGGATGACATGCACCTGGTCGGGTGTCTCCCCTCCCTTTGTTCCAAGACGGTCACCCAGGTGCTGAGCTTACCCACTCTCGGTGACCCGTGCTTTCTTGTCCCTTTCTTCACAGTGAATTCCAAGGCCGAGGTCAGGTTCCACCTGGCAAGTGCTGACTGGATCGCAGAGCCCGTGCGGCAGAAGATGGCTGTGACGGTAACCGCGGCCCCTCTTCCCATAATCCCTCAGGCGCTTTTAGCCTTTGCTCCGTAGAACTCTGGTTTTGCCTTTATTCCCTGCAGCATAAAAATAAGATCAACAGGTCAGGAGAGCTGATACTCACCTCTGAATGCAGCCGCTATCAGTTCCGAAATCTGGCAGATTGTCTACAGAAAATTCGAGATATGATCGCAGAGGCCAGCCAGCCAGCCAAGGAGCCATCCAAAGAAGATGCTGTACTACACAGAATCAGGTACCCGAAGACACCCCAAGTGCCCCGCTACTGAATTCTATGGACAAGGGGCTGCACAGGGAAGAAAGGGGGCAGGGCCAACCCTGGCCTCCCAGCAGACAGGTGGGGAGCCTGGGAAGCAGCGAAGACCCACCTGAGTGGAGCTCTGAGCTGGCGCTTGCTCACTTGGCTGCTGTGCTGTTCGCGGAGCTGCCAGCTCCGCTCACTGCTTTGAAAAGCCCCTGCTGAGCTTCTGGGCCTAACCGAGCTCTTTTCTGTTTTCAGGATAGAAAACATGAATCGGGAAAGACTGAGAAAAAAGAGAATAAATTCTGCCATAAAGACAAGCAGGAGGGTAGACGTGGACTGAAGTTATCCCCCGGAGCTGGCAGAGACCCTCCTCAGGGCGCCGGGCGCTGCTGGGGGAACTTTACCGCTTCAGGAAACTGAAAACCCTATGTGGGCTTGTTCATGGTTGTCTCTAACTGCGGAGCCATCCAGAGAGCGAGGGCTGCAGGCACTGGTTACAAAGGTCTTTATACATGTCTCAAAGCTTAACTATCCTTTTAATGTATTAGCTCCAATAAAATTCTAAACGCAGTAGGCATCCCTTCTTCAGAATGCTTCAGAACAGAATTCCTTCCTTTTCTCTCAGGTTTGAAATCTGCATAACAGTTGCTGGTGGAAACTGACTACTTGTCACAGCGGTGGGGGGTGGGGAGGACAGGAACTGAGCCTGGTGTCTGCCCTCAAGGAGCGCAGTCAGGTAGAAAGGCTGAGACAGGTGAGGGGGCAGTTGAGCTGGGCCTCGCAAAGGTATCGAATCGTAATCAGAGAGGGGAGGAGGATGTGCCAGGCGACGGGACAGCACGAATAAAGGAGACCAAAGAAAAGGCTGGAGTGGAGGAAATGGTGAGGAAGCCATCTGAATTCGCGCAGGGAGATCCTGAGAGATCAGTTTGGAGAGGGAGATGGAAGCTCCCTGTGGAGATTCTTGAATTCAAGGAGTTTTAATTTTAAGATACATAGGTATTAGGGAACCACTTGAGGGGGAAGGAATATCACGTGTTAATTGCTGTCGCGAGCTGTGGGGTTGCGGATGAGACTGAGTTGGAACTGGAAAAAGGTTTTTTGTCATTCTGTGGGTATGGGAAGCACCCAGGCCAGCATAACAGCAGGTTATCCTGGCATGTATGAATGTCATAGAATGTTCTGTTTTGATCTAGTCCACTCATTTGACAAATACTGCACTGCAATGCTCTAGAAGCAAGAAGTTGTAGTGCATACACTTTATGTGAGCACAGATGCCACGTGAGGGAGAAAGGGGAAAAGGTCATCGATAAATGACTCTCACAATGAAATGCAAAAGATGTGGCAGACATAGTCCCTGTCCTTCAGGGACTCAGAGCTTAGGAGGGAACAAGGAAGCGCCACATTCCTTAGTTCATTAAGCATTGGGTGAGTCCCAGGGAACCAGCAATGAGCAGAGCTCTTTCTTCCAGAGAATTGACTTTCCATCAGCTGAGAAGAAAAATAGATTCCTGTTTGGTAACATGACCTAAAATGACCTAAAATGTGGTAAATAACATTAGAAAGGTCAAAATAGATTGCTGGAGGCAGAGAAACAACTAGTTCCAGCTGGAGGGTTGGAGAAGATGTGTTTGAGGTGCCTGAAGGATGGGAAGGGCTGGCCATGTGAGCAACATAAGAGCTTGTGACTTAGATCCTCCAGTGTGGCCTGGGGCCGGTGAACAATGGTTCTGAGGGAATGGGCTCTGAGGCCAGACTGCCAGTCAGCTCCCCGCCTTCCACCGCCCCCAGTTCAAGGGCCTTGGTCAAACTACTAAGCCTCTCAGAACCTCTCTGTCCCCGTCAGTAAACTAGGACTGATGTTATCAGCACCTACTTCCTAGGGTTGTGACATTTAAATGAATAAGTGGTTAATGGCACCAAGCTTGTGCTCCGGGGATGGTGGCCATGATTAATAGCCCAGTTTGGCTGGAACCTAAGAAATGAGGAGCTGTGGAGACACGTCTGCCACACTGAATAGGAGCCAGGGGGTCAAGAAAGCCCTTCGATGTGACAGCTAAGACAGCCTCTACCCCTACAGAGGCTGTTGGGGGAAGATTAATCTGACCGTGAATGGATGAGGAAAGACCGAAGAGAAGTGAGCACGGTTTGGTGGACTGACCCACTTAGCAGTCAGGCACCCAATCCTGGCACTAGAGCAGTGGACACGGATAGAGAGAAAATAGCAGATGCGAGTGGATTTGAGGGACAGAAAATTGGCTCACGCGGAGCGGAAGCAGGTGTGTCAATGAGTGACGCTGTGCTTGGAGACAGGAGAGGAGGGTGGTTGGATGATGGGAGTGGTTCTGCCTGCAAGGAGCTGGCTTTGAGGGGCCTGCGGGGGACTGTCTAGGTAGCGATGCCCAGGAGAGGGAATGAAGCCCTAGAGCTGGGAAGTGAGGCTGCAGCTGGGAGAGGCAGGATGGAGGGGGACGAGTTGAGTCTCGAGAATGGATGGGAGTGGGTGAGGCAGAACCAAGGGAGACTGGGTTAGATGGTGGCAGCAGGAAACCAGACAAGGCATCCCTGTGGGTTGGCCCTGAGCAAACTGCTGGACCCCTCAGGCCCTCAGGGTGGCGTGTGAAGGGACCTGGAAAACCATTCCAGACACTGGAGGGGAGGGAGAGGTACAGAGAAACAGCAGGCTGGGGGACAGAGAGTAGAACACAGAGGTAGGACTCACCGAAAAAAAAGCCGAAGGCAAAATAATGAACACGGGTGAATCTCAGACACAGTGTTGAGCAAAAGGCCAGACTACCAAAAAGTATGATTCCATTGTAAGTAGTTCAAAACAAGACAAAACGGTTTTACCGTAATGAAAGTACTGGGGGGAGGTGGCCGCTGACTGGGAAGAAGCGCAAGGGAGCCTTCTGGGAGGCAGGGAACGTTCTGTGTCATCCCGCTGTGGTCTGTGGTCTGTACACTTTGCTGCATGAATGCCTCGCCGCAACGGACAGATGGATTAACTTAAAGGAGGGCATCCCCAAGGCGGGAGACCAGCCAGGTGGGTTAAACTCTCCCTTCTTGCTGATGTGAAGTGGGGAGGGAAATGGGTTTCTGCAAACTACATGTTGGAGAGAGAAACACAGAAGAATGTCTCACTTCCCTGTCCCCTGAGACTTGGGGGATGGGAAGCAAAGTCTCACGCTGCCCTGGGCTGCAGCTTCTGCCTTACATCTTTCAGATATGTATGGATTCTAAGAGTGGATTTTAAACGTTTTTAAATGTAATGTTTAAAAATGTGCTTATTTATTTGTATTACTTTTCGTATAATAGTTTTAAAGGAACAAAATATCTGGCTGATCTATTGCTTTTCTATATATTATACATTTATATATAATATATACCATATTCCTATGATAACTGGAAGAATTTGTTCACCCTGGTTGTGCCTTGTCTCGTGACGGTGAATATTTTCAGTGTTTATATTCCATTATTCATGATTGATGCTAGTCTGTTCTCGTTTTCTTTCTATATCACTTTTCCCTAAAATTCCTGGATTTTCTGTCAGATCTGCGGAGGTGGCACAGTGGATGGAGCCTCAGTCTTGACCATAGTCCAGGTTTCGGGGCAGCCCCAGCCCCACTGTTTTTCCCGATGCGGTGGCTGGAGGTTGGTGAGCTCACCTCCCACCGTAGCGTCTTCCCACCTCGTCGCGGTCGACTGTGAGCCCCGTGGGCCCACCCACAAGCGGCATCCGCCGCTTGACATCTTCAGTAAACGCGCGTCCATTTAAGCCTTGCCTTGGAAGACCCAGAGTCCGACCACTACTAAGGCAGGAGATGCTACCCATTTGCCCCACAAAGCCCCAGTGGTCTAATGGATAAGGCACTGGCTTCCTAAACTTAGGGGTTGAGGGTTCGAGTCCCACCTGAGGTAGGGGTAACCTTTTGGTACTCTAGAAAATTCACTCTACCTCAGTTTGATGGCACCTGAATCCCTGGCCGAAGCAAGGCACCCAAGGGCAGAGCACCCTCTCTCTTTCCCAACTTTTGTACAGCTTACATACCGAGGCTAGAGAGCAGGACTGTCCTGTAGGCTTAGAGTGCAGAATGTCCCCAAGACACCCCAGCGTATGAAGTGGGCTCTGGAGACGCTGAGCCTGGAGCCTGGAATGCAGGCTGCGCAGAATCCGTGATGACAAACGCGAGGTCCCAATAATGACAAGGTGGGCAGGGTTCCAGAAGCGGCTCAGAACCGGGGACCGGACACATGGAGCCCCTGGGTCCCCCGGTGCGTCATCCCCGGGGGTCTCTGTGTTCCCGGCACCAAAAATACCCTTGCTGCGAGAAACCACCCCAGGTGGGACTCGAACCCACAATCCCTGGCTTAGGAGGCCAGTGCCTTATCCATTAGGCCACTGGGGCGCAACAAGATGGTGCTTCCACGTGGTTCGTGGTAACGAGCAGCCACGCGCACGGACCTCACGCTGTGCTGGGAGCGGGACAGCGTCCTAGCGAACGGGACTAGTGCAGTCCTGAGATGCCAGCTGGACAACCGGAGGTCCACCCGCCGTAATACGCAAAAAGCTAGAGTACAAGAGGAAGCGCTTGAGCAGTGGCCGCTGAGACCAAAGGGCGCCTGGCGGAGCGAATGCCCCACAGACTAGTGGAGAGACAATGCTACGACCCCTCAGACGAGGTTGAGCGGGATTTTAAGTGTCCCCGTCGCCGACAGGCACGAGCCACTCTCCCAAAAGGGAGTCGACCACGAAGGGACTCGAACCCTCAATCTTCTGATCCGAAGTCAGACGCCTTATCCGTTAGGCCACGCGGTCACAACACACTCTCACTTCTGATGCACTGTCCAGGTGGATTCCCCTCAGAGGTGCTGGCGACTCATGCTAAGGAGGATCGTGCGTTTAGGTCCCAGGGTGCGTTATGGGTGCAGCGAAGGCGGAGACGGGGTGCGGTCGGCGTCTCCGCTGCTGCGTCCCTAGATCCCTAAGGAAGCCTCACGGTGCGAATGGGTACGCAGAGGGGACCTCTGGTTCAATAAATAAGACGTCTGACCTCGGATGAGAAGATTCACAGTTTGAGTTTCTTCGTAGTCGATGCGTCTTAATCCCAAAGATTGGGTAGCACATCTATACAGCATCCGAACCCCACGCCCTGCCCTCGCCTTAGACACCGCCAGCCTCCCGACCCGCCCCCACCTGCAGTTGGGAGTTCAGGCCCCTATCCAATAGGGATTTTGTACCTGGAGCTTCCGGTCCCGACGTCATCACACAGCCCTGCGGCGTCACTCAAAAGGCATGTGATCCGGCGCCGGTTACGTGAAGCCCCAGTGGCCTAATGGATAAGGCACTGGCCTCCTAAGCCAGGGATTGTGGGTTCGAGTCCCACCTGGGGTGAGGTTTGTTTAACCACCGGAATATTTCTCCTCTACTGTCTTTAAAAACTGCGTGGTACTTTTCTTCTCTTTAATAGCAGTGTGTGTCAGTGTGTGTCAATTAATTCGAGCCAGTCTACACTGAAAGGTAAATCAAACTGCTGCCGCGACCCTCCCCGCACGCGAAGGCAGAGGCAGGCGGAGTGGAGGTGCTGCTG